TTGATTGGGTAATAATCACGTGTAGATTTACAAATCGATCTAAAAACTAGCCAATCAGACAAATTTCTGTCTATGATCTCCTATACACATCCTCTTATTACCATATATATATATATTAAACTGAGATACTCCGCTAAGAACGTGTTAGGGTATAATCACTAGATCTCCAACACACGAGTTAGGCCTAGTACACCCACCCAACCCTTTTGGTGATTATATCGCGCCCTGTTGACGCGTCCTTTGAGTGTATGGTGGATTACTCATGTTAATACTAAGCTTTCCCTTATTATCGACAATCTGTTAGCCTGATGAAGAGTTAATGAAGGGATATTGGAGATTAATGTTTCGGGTGGAAGTCTTAAAGTAGATAAAGACACGAAGGGAAAGTTTAATTGGTGTTAAGGGAATGGATATTAATAATGGCAGAAGGAAGTTGACCCGATGAATGTATCAGGGAATTTTTAAGTAGCTAGCATGTATATAAACCCTCTGTATTCGCTTTGCTTGTATCTTTACGTTCCTCATTTATGAATAAAGACTTTTGCTCAATTCATTTTCTTACTATTGTTTAGTTATGTTGCTCTCCCGACTTGATAATAACAGCAGGACCGAAGCTTTTTCAGCACGACTAACACGCATCCTCAGTGGGATGAGTACCTGTTGACTCCATTGATATTCTTCCATTGCTAACTCTACATAGCACACACTCAAGAAATGTAGCACGCATGAAGTATTTCGTAAGCCTGACAATTCAGGATCAAGAAAAATTAATTATCAAATCTTTAGTTTATAATGTGCATTTATGATTTCCTTCGTGGAATTTATATAATACGATTCTCAGGTTAGTTATATTTCGGTAATAAAAGTTGGTGTACTTATTTATGCAAGTGAAACAAAGAATTTGCGTTCAAAACGGTTACTTAAGCCCAATATTAGGGAAAAAGAAAACCGAATTTGCTCATATGTAATACTTATTCATTTGGTGTTACATATAATCAAATTCTAGAAAATATTATTGTTTATTTAGCCGGACAATGCCTTAAAGCTCGTCATTGTTTTTGACTATTCGCTCGCATTTTCATTGTCTTCATTATCTCATCCTGTATTAGTGATTATAAAATTAAAGTTTAAATGGATGAAAATTCTCCATTAATTCGACGTAGCAAGTCGGTAGCAGGTTATAATCGAAATTTAACGAATTCTTCTAATAGCAATAGACAACAGAAAACATTTAAATCACCCGAAAGGTATTCAATTACAAAGAGACCTTCCATACATTCTAATTTATTATCCGTAACAATTGATTATGATCAAATCTCTGAAGAAGATGAAACGTGGGTAAAAAGTCAAAGGGATTTTATTAAGAATGCCGAAAAAAAACCTAGTATTAGACAGAGGCTCGCTTATGAATGTGATTTAGGAAAAAAAGGAAGGATTTGGGAACTTTTTGATGCCTTCTTATCTGTACTTTTTATTTCCTTTTATATTTTTGTAAGTATTAAGTTCTGACCAGCTTATAGACAAAAAAAATTTAATGCTTAACAATCAGAAGAATGTGTCCAGAATTAAGCTTGTGGAATTTTTTTAGTCTTTATCTCACTAAAGAATTTAAAAGAACTTAAAGATAATTAAATATTTTTACAAAACAGTGCACGTACTATGTCGATAATGACAGTAATTTCCCCGATATTCTCCGAATTGTGGATTTTAGTTTGTCCTGTCTCATACTCATCCAGTTTCTTCCTCGCGTTTGGTTGGCGAAAGATCGTTTACAATATGTGACAAGTCCTCTTGCCATTGCGACCTGGATTGCTGTGTTTCCCGTGATCGCGGCTTTTATAACCTATTATTTCTTTGTTAAGGAAATGGATAGAACCTACATGGACGTTAACGGATTTGTTAGTATGAATTTATGTATGTAGTGTTTAGGCACATGTTTAACATCCTTGCTTATCATTCAAAGGTCTATATCTACCCATTACGCTTCATTCGTGCCAATTTGTCCGTACAAATATGTTTTAATCCTGTTAAAAGTTCGTTATTCAAAATATCTAAACTTTTAAGGAAAGGTCTCAGGATAGGTAATTTTTTTTTTATGTATATTTGGTATTTTAATTATTTTAATCCGAATTTTTTTTCAATTTTTCTGAAATATTTAAATTATTTAGGCACTACGATATTATTCGCAATCCTTGTTGTTGCTGCATGGGTTCATATTATAACATATAATCAAGAGATACCTAAAAGTATAGATTATTTTGATGCAGTTTGGTTCACAGTAGGCATGTAGCAAATATATTTTCAGTATTGTTATATTCACTTCATTTATTAATCATCAATATTATAAATTCTTATTGAAATAGTAAGCTGGTAGGTGGTAAATTTCTTCAAATGATGATTTGACACATCTTGATAGCATTAATTTATCTACTTTTTTAATATTTGAATAGTACAAGCGGTATGAGTACAAATATTGTTGCAGATAATTTTTGGCTTAAACTAGTCATCCTGTATATTATGATAATGGCCGCCATGTTCATGTAAATAAATAAAATTAACCTTTCTTTTCGTCTTCATCCTCTTTTTTCAGTCGAATAGTAATTTACATTTTATATATCACAGACCAACATATTTAACTGAACTTATCAGTTTGATTCAACAAAAATCAAAGTATGACCATTCGTTTAAACCAGGAAAGAATATCGAACACATAATAATCTCTGGAAGCTTTGATTCGACGAGTTTATTTGAATTTTTACGCGAATTCTTTTGCCAAGATCATGGAATGTCCACTATGAATACTGTTGCGGTGATTTTGAATCCGGAAGAGGTAACACGTCAAAACGACATTCTTGTACTTTCGTTCTATCATGTACTATGCTTATTATGTTAATTATTATTATTATTCATTGACTTTAAGCCTGATGATGATACTGCACTGTTACTGGATGATCCTGCATTTGTCAATAGAGTTCAATATATTATAGGGTATTTACGCGTATATAACATTTTAACTACATTTTAGCTACAGCATATTAACTACAATATTTCAATTATAAAAACCTAAAACTTTTCATACTGTTTGGTAGGTCACCTGCATTTCGTAGAAGTCTCGAAAAAGTTAAAGCAGACGAAGCTTGTGCCGCATTTTTGTTAGCTCCAAAATATTCAAAGAACAGCGATAAAGATGATGCCGCGCAAATAATGTGGTCTTTGGTATGTAAAGTGAATGTGATCACTGCATTATTTTTTTCAATATAATTTTCTCTGTTCATTTTGTAATTTTTAGTCGTTTATTTTATTAGGCTTTGAAAAAATATAATCGAAAACTGGTTTGAATATTTATTAATATTAATTTTATGAAATTAAATAGTTTATTATAATTTAATCATTTTATTATTACTAATTATAAAGCCGATTTATGTTCAAGTTCTTTTACCGGAGAATGTTCCTCATTTTGACTTACTAGGTAATTGAACTTTGAGAATTATTTACAATTAGATTATCGTAATTATAATTTAAATGATAAATTTGTATGTTCAACATATAGCAAAGGATATTTTATGTATTGATGAAATCTCCATGGGTCTAATGGCGCAGAGTTTGGTTACACCTGGATTCGCTTCTCTAATTGTGCTTCTTACCACATCTATTACGGAACAAATTGCACGTGAATTGGAGAGAGATGCAAAATATACTAAAGGTTGTCTTTTTTTTTTTTTTTTTGCGCTATTAAAGAGAACTATAGTGTATTTAAATAACGTATCAACTATCTTTTAGGAACAGCTGGTTGGGCGATTGAATATATTAATGGTGCTCAACATGAAATATATGCTGCCACTCTTTCAGATTATTTTACCGGAAAGACATTTTTAGAATGTTCGGAAATCATATATACCCAACTAGAAGCCACTTTATTTGCTATTGGATCCGTAAAGAGTCAATTAGGCATATTACTAAACCATTCTTACCCATTTCAAATATTTTTAAATCCTTGTGATTATGTAATTAAAGGAAATGAGATCGTATTTGTTATATGTGACAACGCCGAAATAACGGTAAGACTGGCTCATTTCAATACATATGATCACAAAGCAAAAAATTGGACACAGGACATGGAATCTTTTATTAGACAACCAGTGCACAAATCGAATGATGATGGATGTTTTTCTTCTAATGATGCTATTAGTGCATCGACAAACCAGTCTAAACTTAAAAGACGAAAGTCTTTAAACCAAGAAGAAAGCAGGATACAGATGCCGACACTATCAGATAATACACATGTTTTATTAGAACCAAGGACAACTGCTTTACGCGTGGAAATTTTAAAACATAATATTGACATGGCCAAGGCCAATTGTGATGACTTACTAATTGATCCACAAATTAAAAATATAGAAAACCACGTGTTAATTTGTGATTATGGTGATAAATTTCCACTCAATTTAGACATTTTCATAGCAGTGCTTCGTGAAAACCATTCAAAGTGTCATAATATGCCAGTGGTTATCCTTTCAAATAGTCAACCATCAGAGTTGCAGAAGAGAACACTAGAAAAATTTAAGGATGTGTTTTTTGTTCAAGGATCACCTTTAAGACGGTATGATCTTTTCCGAGCTAGAGTTCATTTTGCGAAAAAATGTGTAGTGTTGAGTGGCATGACAAACAATTACGAGTGAGTTTTTTTAATGGCATAATTAAATTTTTAATTTATCATAATCAATTATTATAATAATTGTCGCGGATGATGGTGAAATTGGATGATCGTGAAATCTGGGGGCCTTAATTTAAAAATATAAACCCTAC